CTGCTCTTCTGATGCTGCCTGACCTGCTGTGTTCCTCCAGCTCCACACTGTGTTGACTTGATAGACTGTTGGTACTTAAAGTTGACAAGGCACTGGGACTGGCTGAGAAGCATCTGAGGATACTAACTGAAGTAAGAGTGGATATTCAGTTTGGGGGAGGTGCTAGAAAATTGAAAATACTAAACATCACGCTCTTGTTCAAGACAGATTGTAAGGATAAGGTCCAGGAATTATAGACCCCCAGTGAGTTTATCTTCAGTGGCGGGGAAACTTCTAGAAACAATAATTTGAGAATTAGTAGTCACATGGAAAAAGATATATTGATTAGGAAATTTTGGCATGGGTTTCTAAAGGAGAAATGATGTTTAAGTAACTTGCTGGAGGTTTTTTTCGAAGAGCTAGCAGAAAGATTAAATGGGGGTAATCCTGTTGATGAGGTATACATGGATTTCCAAAGGTGTTTTGTACAATGCCACACAATAGATCTGTGAGGAGATCTAGACCTAGCAAGAGACAATTTCAAAGTTTGCAGATGACACAAAACTTGGAAGAATTGTAAACTGTGAGGAGGACAGTGTAGAACTCCAAAAGGACATTAGAGATAGTAGGAACTGTCAATGCTGGAGAATCTGAGATAACAAGGCGTAGAGCTGTTTTCAGAAAAATTTTCTGAAGAAGGGTCCAGACCCAAAACGTTAGCTTTCCTGCTCCTCTGATGCTGCTTGGCCTGCTGTGTTCATCCAGCTCTACACCTTGTTATCTCCAAAAGGACATTGACAAGTTCATGGAGTGGACAAAAAGACAGCAGATGGGCTTCAAAGCAGAGAAGCAGAGAAGTTGAAGTTTGGCATTCTGGTATGAAGAACATTGAAAGGCAATAGAAAATGGGGCATACAATTTTAAGGATGGGGATAGGGGGAGCATGCAGGAGCAGGGGGACCTGGATGTATATGTACACAGATTGTTGAAAGTTGCAGGACAGGTGGAGAGAAATGTAAAGAAAGCAGTCAGCATCATCGGCTTTATTAATTGTGGTATACTGTACAACAGTACAAAGGTGATGTTGAAACAAAAACAGAAATTGCTGGAGCAACTCAGCATGTCTGAAGTAATGTTGTGTACAGTTCTGGGAGCCACGTTATAGGAAGGATGTGAATGCATTGGAGAGAGTTCGGAAGTGATTTACAAGAATGGTCCCAGAGATGAGGAACTTCAGTGATGAGGATAGACTGAAGAAGTTGGGACTCATCTTCTTTGAGAAAAGAAAACTAAGAGGAGATCTGATAGAGGTTTCAAAAAACATGATGAGCATGGATAGAGTGGGAGAAAATGATCCTGCTCATAAAAGTGTCAGGAACCAGATAACACTGATTCAATGTGAGTTGCAAAAGGATCAAATGTGATGTGAGAAAAAGAAACTGCTTGGAAATGTGATAGAGACAGGTTCAGTGAGGCATTTAAGATGGCATTGAATAATTATTTGGTTAGAAATAATGTGCAAGGGTATGAAGGAAAGAAACAGGAAAGTGGCAGAAGGTAATGATGCTCAGTTGAAGAGCTGGTGCAGACCTGATGGACTGAATGGTCTACTTCTGCACCATAGCAATTTTGTGATTCTGTCATTCTATGATGCATGCGCAACTTCAGTCTTGCTTTTTGAAATGACGGCACAATGGCCAATGAGACAGCACCAATCTCTCCTGATATCATAGAACATTGTATCTGAACTTAATCTGGGCATTCCACCTCCTACAGTATTCCTTGTACTTAGTATTGGATTATACTTAGGGTTGAAAGGTTTGAACAATTACATATTTTTCAGATAGAATTCCTAACTGTTCTGTTTTGAAGTATCCTATAGCCTTCTGGAAAATAGCTCGGACACCACTTTTTATTGGAGGTTCCTAGTACTACAAAGCCATAATTTATATGAAAGTCCAAAGGTTTATCAAAATCAATATATCCTAGAAGTGTAATGCTCAGGAAAGATTTTCCTGAATCCAGTTGGATTTCCTGGAGGCAACACATGTGCTTTGCAATAATCTCAACTCAACACTAATCCACACCAATCACTGCCACTATGAACCAATCAGATCATCATGTTAGGTCCTGATGACGGCCCCCATTGATCTCTTACTCAGGGAATTGTACTCCAGCACAATCTGCAGCCTCCACTTTATGTATAACAGATGCAAAGATGCGATTGGTATTTAAAGTTAATCGTTTTCATTTCTTCTCACAGCCGATCTTGGACCATGCACATCCACAGGAGTGAGTAACAAGACACGTAAGTTTTAAAACCTACACTGTTCCGACAAATCTTACTGACTTGGTGCGATCTCTAGTGATGGGCTCCTCACTGTCCAACTAAACACAATGTCATACGCTTAGCTGCCAGTGAGTTCCATATATTTCTTCATGCTGTTACCTGGCAATATGGTCCTTCAGGACAATACAATCTTGGTCCAGTCCATAAGGTGTGACCATAAGACTATAAGATGTTGGAGCAGAAGCAGTCCATTTGGAATATCGAGTCTGCCCTGCCATTTGCTCATGGCTGATATGTTTCTCAACCTTATTCTCCTGCCTTTTTGAGTAAGCCACCACTTGCCTTTTTGATATGGACCAAGTGTTCCATGCACATTAGCCCTTGTATATTGTTGCATGAACACTGGGGTTTTGTTGAGACATAAGAATGTGAGAACCAGGAGTAGGAGCAGGAAATTCAGCCCTTAGAGCCTGCTCCATTATTTAATACAATCATAGCTAATCTCATCTTGACCTCAACTCCACATTCCTGCCAATCTCCATAACCCTTCAACCCCAATTACTAATTAAAAATCTGTCTCCTTCTTAAATTTACTCCCTATTCCACACTGTGGGATAGTGAATTCCACAGATTTGCTCACCCTTGAGAAAAGTAATTTCTCTCATCTTGGTTTAAAATCTCCTATCCCCTATCATAAAACTGTGATCACTCATTCTAAATTGCCTCACATGAGGTAACATCTGCTCTATGTCAATAGTTTGTCCATCTCATAAACAGATGTCAGGATCTTTATTAACAACATTAACTAGTTATAATGTTACAAGGTCTCAGACGTACATATTGTCTGGGTGCTTTGCTTACTATTGTTTCTGCAACTGCAGAAACTGCTACAGCAACAGCTGCTGAGAAACAATAACTTACACTGGAATGTCGCCTTGAGATGGTCTTAAAGGTACACTGCCTGTCTGGTCTGGAATATATGCAATAATGTATCTCTCCCTTTTACTTTAAAGAATGGGACCCCTTTTCCAAGGATATTGACACGTTAACTCTGCACTTTAAGAGAATGATTTAGATGTGTAATAGGACTAGATCTATTCTTTATGAAGTCAGTTCAGGGGACAGAAATAAGCAGGAAGGGGTGGGGGGTGTCTCTGTCCGAGCAGCAGTGCCACAACCTGATTGTGCAGAAAGGATAATCTAACGCCTTGAGTACTGCACTGGAAAAAATGAACAAACATGGCAGGCAATTTCAACTTATTCAAAAATTCACCTGCTTTACAGAGTTACAATAAGGCCCAGTGTATGTTCAAATTGTTACACCAGTCCGCAGGTAAGTACCTCCAATTTGTTACAAATCTGGACAGGATACCAGCATATGGTTCTGTTCCTAAGGGAAGAGGGATGAATTAGCTCCCCTTCTTAATTCAACTCCTCTCTCAGTTGGTTACAACAGGTTAGTTTATAAAGGATCCCTCTTCACAATCCAAATGTATTCATGTTTGTCAAGGAGCCAAACTAATCAGGTTTTCTTGAGTTAAAGAAAAGGTGAGTTTATTAACTACTGAATACTAGAAAGTAAAACAAAATCATTCTCCAGATAGTGGACGGTTGTGACCACTGCAATGGATGATGATGGTAATGCTGACATTGGCCACAGAACAGTTGATTTTAAGATTAGCCGACAAGGTTCTGTTCTCTTGCCTTCTCGATAGCAGCTTTCACTGACTTGCCTGGCCTCCATTATTCAGAGTGAGAAAGAGTCCTTCTTTACCTGTGGCACAGAGGTGTCTCATGCTGTGACTCTTCAAGCTGTAACCTTACTTTAGTTCACTGTAGCACATCAGTCCACTAACACACACAGACTAGCAGATGTAGTTATTTTCAAGACTTTTGTTTGGATACTCCTGGAAAGGTAAGTATAAAGGTGTCTGCAGTTTAGGATACAATCCACAGAAGATATCTTTCTGCTGTCAGGGATAGTGAACCACTCATTACTACAGTGGCCACAGGAATTCACAGTCCAGTTTGTTTTAAATTACATCTCTTCCCTTTGAAAGGTAGCTGTTTGAAGTTCCCTCGGCACATTCGGGTTTGACATTCCAAGATTCCTCTCAAGACTAAGTGTGATCCAGACAGGGATTTGCCAGATAGCCACAGACTTTACATCTGTAGTGATGAAGTTATGATCCATTATCATGGCGAAATACTCAAGTGGAGTTTAAGTAGCCCCTTGCTAACCTTATGTTTCAGAACACATTCACCTATAGCATCTGTGCTAAAATGATCTAAAACCAAACCAGTCCCCTGCTGCTTTAATGTCCTGAATCCTGCCCTGCTTTAAATGTGTATCCCCCTTTCCACTGGGAATGTTACATTGTGTGTATTCTCTCACAGCCTCTTACTATGCCGTGGCGGTTGTAAAGGATGCTAGCCTGAACTGGGAGACACTGAAAGGGAAGAAGTCCTGTCACACAGCTGTTGGGCGAACTGCTGGCTGGAACATTCCCATGGGACACCTGATTTCAAAGGGGAAAATCGATGCTTGTGATACTTTTAATTGTAAGTGTGATTCCTCATGTTTAATAGCTAATACTTATTCATGTTAAAGTTGTTTAAGGATAAAGTTAAAAGTAAACAGTTCTCTGTCCATGCAAATGTCTGGCTCTACCTTATGTTAGAGAAGAGCTCCAAAGTTTTGACCTGGTGTCGATAAATGGATGGTAACTTTGTCATAATCAGAAGTGACTTGGTTGGAAACTTGAAGGTGGTAGACTTCTGCTGCACTTGCTAGATGATGTGGGTCATGGGTTTTGGGAGGTGAAGAATATTTCTTGTTGGTGCTTTTTCACACTTTTGTGGAGACTTGCCATTTTGCCGTCTTTTCTTTCCTGAATGCTCACTGTTGTCCGTATCTCATAGATGTTCTTTATTGAGTCAGTGCACTTACAAATCCAAACTTTGGATATACAGTAAAGTGAAAGTCAAACTGTCATTGCTCAGAGGTGGAGTATTTATGCCAGAGCCGCATGAATTCAAGTTAACATGATGTTTCAGACAGATTGTAACTTGTAAAACAAATTTCTCTCTATTCTTACCACATATGAGTGAGCAGATCATGGTTTAATTTTTTTCTCCCTTTTGTAAAACAGTGGTGGTGTATTTCCGTACTCTCTCTATTTTCAGACTCTTACTGTAATGACTCGATAGGGTAATGAGCTGGATTCAAACTCTGCTATCCCAGGAATCATCACAAAATTTAAAGATTTTAAAATAAATTTCCTCAATTTACCTGATTTTCAGATTCAGGCTGATAGAAAGTGTGGACCAGTTTTGTATACTTTACAAGAATTGCTTTTTACTTCAAGTAATTAGACCCTAGCTGCAAGTAGATGATTATAAAGAGTCAACATATACATATACAACATACACACCTGCAAATTTAAACTCTTTATAAACTCCCCCTTACATACACACACACACACACACACACACACACACACACACACACACACACA